CGAGTATGCCTAGGTTTCCTGTGCTCTACTGTAAATTATTTGATGATAGGATGGATTATTACCCAATGTTATATTAAGTGGTACAGATTGTGTGCGGAACAAAAATGAAGCAGGTGGTATCTAATTATTATTTTTATGGTTTGTTACACAGCCGCATCTTAAATTCTGGCCTAACCATTTTTCTAGTATTCGAGTTTAAGTACCCGTATACTACCTTGGAACCCCACTTGCTAAACTTTCAGTCGTTCAGGAACTGTTCTTTGATTTTTTCTGTCAACATTTCACCAGTTTCGAAAATGAGGAAGACAACTCAATCTTAAATTACAAACATGTTTTTGCGTTCTGCACTTCAGATAAAGAACTAAGCATGTATGTCAAATATATACCTGTATATTTGCAGTGCACACTAAAACCTCAGTTCCCAGAGTTTTGTTCCGAAGCAGCTGTTTTTAGTTGGTTATGTGTAACAAATCGGTTGAATTCATGTTGCCTTCTAATCAAGTTAAATGTATGTCTGTCCACGATCTTTTCACTCTTGCTTTGAAACATTTGTTTATGTCGATCATGGAGGACCAAGTAGATAAGCGTTTACCGTTCCATATTGCTCTGGAATTGTTAAAGGTTGAAATTGTATTTTCCTACCTCACTTTTTGATTCATTGAACCACAACTTGTATTCAGGCCTCTTCATTCTCAATCTATTTGCCAAACTTTATGTTTCATAATGTTTGTCCTCATCTGATTTTTCGGACAACTAAAGTTTTCACTGTTTAAGTTGCAGGCTTAAGTTAGTTGGATTTGCTGTTTACTTTAATAACAAAGGGTTGTTTAGCCTCATGTAACTTAGCTCTTATGCTCTGTCTGACGTATGAATCCTGTCAACGAACATGATGACATTTAACTTTCTGTTTTTGTGCGTCACTTTGAAAACCTATATTGCTCATTGATGACTTCTGTACCATTCGAACAGGATTCTGGTTTCTTTCGTTTATCTCGACTAACAGAATGTTTCAGGCAATGAAGTGTTTAAAATAATCATCTCGTCTCTTATTGTTTTGTGCAATGCATTAGTTCAAGGTGTCAGGTTTAATAAAAGCAACATCAAAATGTTGTGATTTCATCATTTGAATTTGCCACTATTCATTAACAGTCAGTAAAATATGATAAAGATAAATTCAACTCTCCCTCTGTTTGTAGTCACAGACTGATTATTCTTGTGCTCCCCAAAGTCAGAGCAGTGCTTGATTTGTTTGATTGGACTGCTGTTTGGGAATGACTTTCAGAAATAGCATACAAACAGTAGGAAGGTAAATGAAGCGGGAGAGTTAGGTACTGATCGGGAAAGCGGAAGAAAATGGTTTATAAGGCCTATAATGAAAAGAACATTGTTTCTGTTTCAGTATACACTTCGATTTTTGGTTGGGTGTTTTTGTTCTTGATGGGGTACAAGATTTTAACACAGTCATTGCAGCATTCCCGCTCCAACACGAGAAGGTGAAAGGAGCACCCGTGTGGGAGCTTCTGGAGACCCGTCACGCAAGGCCTTCGGCTTTCGATTAATTGTGTAGTTCACTGGTGCGTTGACTGTCGGTCCGCTATTCGGGATCGGCCCTTAGCCGCATGCACCCAATGAGACAAGCGAAACGCGGATGGGACAGCACCTTATTGGCTGGGGCTGCCCAGCTTTGGCGGGCGGTAGCTGTTTAATGGAGTGCGAAGACTTCTCCCACCGTCGAGAGGAAGCCCCAGGTACTCCGCTCCTACGTCCACCTAGCGGGGTTATCTGTCCGGTAAACTGCTCCTCACCGTGTTTGTTTGTTGGAGTGGCCTCTTCAGGAACAGGTGTGGATAGAAGGAAGCCAGGAGGTACCCAAGCAGCTGGCCTTGTGAGACTGATTTTCGTCTGGCCTCTTTCCGTTGACCTTTCAGACATGATTCGATCTACGGCTGTGAAAAGCCATTCTGTGTAGCTCGCAGAGTTATGGAGGCACGTGTGACGTGGGATGCCGGATATCTTTCCAGAAACGCTGAAAGACTGTTCAGTAGCAAGGTTGATCCAATATTTTCTGCTCCCCCACATCTCTAAAACAAAATATCGAAATCGCATGCATTGAAAATGTTTTACTGTTTATTCTTCCTCTATTTCACATATTTGTCTTTTGTTTTAAACTTCGTATTTTTCTCCTAGTTATACACTTTGCTACATGTGAAGGGTACACGCGTGATAACCAGACTGGTTTTAGACCTGGTCGAGGTTGTATCGACCACATTCTGACTCTTCGCCAAACTCTGGAGCACCGACATTCTTTTCGTAGACCCACCATCTCTGTCTTCCTTGATCTGAAAGCGGTTTTCGACCCAGTCGCCCGCTCAAAACTCGGGCGCTCCCTCTCTCTAAAGGGTGTGTCCGAGAAGTTTTTTTCAATATTGCGATCCCTTTATACTAATAGCCGAACCCGAGTTCGTGCTTACGGCACGTTTTCACCCGAGTTCATTACGAAAAGTGGTGAGGGTCAGGGTTGCCCTCTCCTTTTCTGCCTAATTTTGCTATAGATGTAATTATGGAAACAGCCCTATCCTCATGCGAGGATAGTGGTATCGATTTACTCCCAGGTTGCACTCATGAGGGTATGAAAACCCTAATGAGGAGTCTGGGTCATATATTTCCCGTTAGGCTCCCTCGATGGGGACCTCGGCAAAATCCTAGTCGATGGTTAGAGACAGTGGTATGACTGGATGTCGTAAACAGTGACGTTCATGCACCTCGTTTTTTTGCAACATTAATCCACTTAACTTCACAATTTTCTCTCCAATTCCACTTTCAACCTTGTCTTTCTCCTACTGTTCATGCAAATGGGCAGCCAAAACTGGCGCATAAAAGTGCATGGTTAATGGTTGTTCGAACTGAACTGAACTGATGTACACATGCTCATTTATTTTCTCCCATGAAAACTACACTGAGATTTCGACTAGATCCTTTTGAGAATAAACATTTTTCAAAATCCTGAAATAGTCACATTCTCAAAAGATTCGGAATCTCAGTGTCGCTGCTCTAGATTCAATCAGTAGTTAAAAACCACAGGTCATTACCATACGTTGCGGGGTAGCTTGAAACCAGCTGTGGTGCACAGGAACGCACACACAGTTTCCTTTTGATCCGTTCATACACGCGTGCACGAATGTGCTTAGTGCAATACAGACAACAACGACATGTTTTAGAGATAACCGATTCCAGTTTTGTTTTCAGAGTTGGTTGTGTCAAGTGTCTGCGGGGCAACAGGTATTAATCTAAGAAGCACATCTCACGAGCGTACTCAAATAGAATAGAGACTAGTTTCGTGTGTTCTGGCATATGATTGGTGGTATCAACTACCCGGAAATCTGTGGTAATGATCTGTGATTAGGGGTCTCAAAGAATATGTTTAATCGGGGCTGGATGCCCGTAGTGTTTGGCGAGCTCGGCGGTATTCAGCTGAAACCATATGAATTATTACTTCACTTAGGTCCAAAATGTTTTGTATGTTTACATTCCGGATGTCTTTTACCCAATGATTTTCTTCCTCGTTTGATAGTTTGAGGTGAAGCTATCATTGAACCCGATGTTACATAATCAAATGGCATTGAGAGGCATCAGTCAACGGAATCGTTTCATTTAATGGCCCTGTACGATGATACGATGATATTAACGCTTTACGCTCATGGAACGGCACCCAGCCCCTGTGTTTTTGGTTCCCCTAAATCCAACCTCGATGATCATCTGAAGGACGTTGAATCTGTTATTTTTCCTAGCTGAATGTTGTTGGTTTGCTTGATTCATGGACTTAATGGGGATTATTCTGCAATACTTATTTTCAGAATCATAAGGCACATTAGTAGCTATCTATGTTTGGCTTGTACAGAGCATACTAAAACTTCAGCGATTCTAATCTGTATTTCAAATACCCTGTCACCTCTGTTTGAAGCCTATTTTAAATACCTATGAGTAATAAATATACTATAAAATCCGCTTTAATCATATATATATATATATATATCCAGTTGATTATGGTTCTTGGAAGAATACCTGTATGATGGGAATTAACTTCTTCATAAAAACATGGCAGATTTCGGCCACATGCCACGTCCACTCTTTTTCTCTCTCAACGAACGTAATTCGTGTGAGTTCTATCCCCATCTAAGCTGGATTTTTTGACAATATGCTTTCTGACTCCGAAGGAATACATCAAGCACAGTTTGCATCCTGTTTAAGTAGTTTCTTTACACGTTTATTACTGAAGTTCTTATTTTTGCATTGACTGAACAGAGGAACGTTTAATCTTAGAACAATTTATGTTGTCTTTGTCCGAACCAAATGTTTTCCCCGAATCATGTGTGAAATTTGCACCTCTTTAGAGATTTCCTCTCACACTTTATTCCGTTGTTTCGTTTGAAATAGGGCGTAATGGTTCGTCTAATCTTGGTCCTAGCGCCGATCATGTGTATTGTGGG